CCTGGCAGTGACGGGATAACGGCAGAATTTTATAAGTTATATTATAGTTATATTAAATAGTTGTTATCTCCGTTCCTCCTGCAAGTGTATATAGAGAGTTTAAATTGCTCTGAGCTTTCTGTTAGTATGAAGCAAGGTGTCATTTGTTTAATACCTAAACCTAATAGACAACTGGAGACCTATCAGCCTCCTTAATAATGATTATAAATTGTTTGCCCTTATTTTCTCTAAGTGTTTTAAGTTGGTTTTGAACTCCATTATCGATGAAAATCCGTCAGGTTTCATGAAAAATTGACCTCATTGATTACTCTGACTATATTGAGGACGATAGTTTAATTCTGTTTTTGGACTTCTTCAAAGCTTTTGACACTGTTGAGCATCCTTTCATTTTTTTTTTGTTTAGAGTGTTTTGGTTTTGGGCCTTATTTTTGTAATGCAATGAAAACGTTGTATGCTGGGGGAAATAGCTCAGTGAAATTAGGACATGGTACTACACAGAGATTTAATTTAGAAAGAGGTATTCGGCAAGGCTGTCCAGCTTCCATATATCTCTTTCTTATTGTAGCTCAAGCCTTCTGTCATTTCATTAAGGATAGTAAGCTAGAAGGAATTCATATTGCTGGTAGAAGTATTTTAATTAGTCAACTAGCGGATGATACAGTCATATTTAAAAAAAAACTCAAGTCAGGTTCATCAGGCAATTAAAAATATACAGTTGTTTTCTAATGCTTCAGTTTTGTACCTTAATATAAAAAAATTTGAAATATTAGTCTTAAAAAATTCCTCCCTTTAATCTGTGGATGGTATTCCAGTTAAAGAAGCTGTTTCCCTGAATTTTAAGCCTGCTTTTGAAAAGATAAAAAGAAAATGGAATCTTTGGTTATTAAGGGACTTGTCCCTCAGAGGTAGAGTTCTTTCTAGATTAACTTATATTGCTGCAACCATATATCTAGACAATAAAACTGTTAAGTCTATCGATCAGATTTTATAAAAAAAATTATGGAAGAACCGTGTGCACCGAGTATCATTTGTTTAACACTCAAGGGTATCTTATGACATATGATGAGTTTCTTGTACACTTTAATTTTCCTGTGACTCCCAAGGAATTCTCTCTTGTTTTCTCTGCAATTAATTCTGCTATAGTTTCCTTATTTAAAGATGTGATATTGGTTGATATGCCCATAGTCAATCTAACTGATACAATATGTGGTCAAATTTGTTTTTCACAGACTAAAAATAACAAGTCTATTCGTTCTCTATTTTTAAAGGAGATTGCTACCAAGCCTTACTCTATTGCTTATTGGACTAAATTTGTAGGAAATCCTAAGTGGGAAAGCATTTGGTTATTGCCTCACAAGTTCTTTGTTACAAACAAGATAAAAGAAATCTGTTTCAAAATATTTCATAAATTCTATCCTGTTAAACATTTTCTCAGTAAGTTTAAGAAGGATATTGATGTTAACTGCTCTTTTTGCTCTTTGCACTTGGAAACTGTACCCCACATCTTCTGGCACTGTAGTTATGTTAAAACGTTATGGTATGATGTCTCTGTTTATCAAAGAACTGGTACTCTTTCATTTTAAAAGAGATATTTTAATTATGATAATGTAAATAACAAAGTTTTTGTTATTAATCTGTTTATTTTGTTGGTTAAGTTTCACATTCATAAGTGTAAATTTTCTAACAAAAAAACCCTGTTTTACAGTGTTTTTTAAAGAGTTGGATAATTACTTGTGTACTATTCAACATAGTACTAATAGAAAGGCAATTAAAACTGTCAGTTTGTGTTCTGTCTTCAAAATATTTGAGTAATGTAAAGGTCATGCATATCTCTGATTATGTGTGTATATATATATGGCAAGCCGTTTTAGCTTAAATTATTCCCAGCCTTACTCGTCGTAATTGCATTTTTACTAGTAACAATTCAATTAGAGAGCTCTACAATTAAATTCTTACTAGTAACAATGTCAGTTAGAGAGCTCTCTAACTTCGCGCTGTGGTTTGCCGGATCGGGGTCGTCACATGTGGTTGCCTCCGGCCGCGTCGTTGTGAAAGCGAAACTACTTTGTTTGGTCTTCCAAAAGAGGACACAACTAGAAATCAGACATATTTTAGATATCTGTACTTTTACTTAAGTGTGGCTTTCAGGTACTTTATCCGTTTGTATAGGTATAAAAAGACTGGAAAATCTAAGCTCATATGTAATCATGTTTAAAGCTATTGATTTCAAAACTTATTTAAATGGCATATTATCTTAACTAAACTAGCTTGTGCAATGGATTAATAATTAATTATATAAGTATAATAATTATATAAATATAATATAATTATAATAAATGATCATCTCTAAAAGCCAGAAAATGTTTTACTATGCAGTGCCCTTTAATTTGGAGCAAGAGAAACTGGGGGAGTGACTTTTCTCTTTTGTGTCAGAGATAGAGAAAGCTGATCAAAGTTCAGTCTGAGATCTCTAAACCAGAACATAACCGTTCCTGGAGCAGGTTAGCCATGGAGCGCTAAAAGCCAAACCACTTTCACAAGTCTAACTATAAGCAGTTTGATTTGCAAAAAAAAAACAAAAAAACAAAATGAGACAACTAATAATTAGCTAGTGTAGATGCATATGTCGCAGAATCTACTTTTTCTAGTTAATATGCACTGTTCATATTTGCACAACACTCCGCCATTCAGACATGAACTGTTTGGCAGAATTTCAACAGTCAAAGCCCCAGAAGAGATGAAACTGGACAATCAGAGGCCTGATTCATCTCCAGAGCCTTAAATGAAACGATCACTGGCTGAAAACAGCCCTGAAAGTCAGCGGAGACCAGGACAACTAGATGAGCCCCAGATACAGATCCCCAGTAAAGACCTTGTCTCAGACGACCACCGGGACAAGACCACAGGAACCAGATGAGTCCTCTGCACAATCTGACTTTGCTGCAGCCTGGAATTGAACTGCTGGTTTTGTCTGGCCAAAGGAGAACTGGTCCCCCGACTGAGCCTGGTTTCTCCCAAGGTTTTTTCTCCATTCTTTCACCGATGGAGTTTCGTTTCTATGCCGCTGTCGCCTCTAGCTTGCTTAGTTAGATTTGATTGCACAGACACTATTTAAACTGAACTGAGCTGGATGATCACTGAATTCAATGATGAACTGTCTTTAACTGAAAATTGAGTGTTTACTATTGTCACTTTGCATTATTGACACACTGTTTTCCTATTTAATACTGCAAAGTTGCTTTGACACAATCTGTATTGTTAAAAGCACTATATAAATAAAGGTGACTTGACTTGACTTGAAACATCACACAGATGTGATTAATTATCTACAGGCATGAGTAAGGCATAACTGGATATTAACTGATCTTGTAATAAATATATTCACATTTGTCCATCACTCCCTTTTATTTATGTGGATAATATGTGCACTAATCTACTAAAGAACAGAAGTCAAGAGCGCTATATACATTTTTAGATTTATATAGCATTTGTCCATCCATCCATCTAATGTATCTGAATGATTATTTCTCTGTATATTTACTATAAAAAATCATTCTTGATATATTTACAGTACATTTATTTGCGTTTGTGCAGTGAATGAAGTGGGGGAAAGTGCTGGTATGTATTTTATTTTGTAAAATGTATTCAGGATAATGCAATTATTGATTATTTATTTACATTGAAAATATATTAAAAATGGCAATGAGGAAATATAAGTGAGTACATTTATCAAAGTAATATATTTTTGCCCATTTATATATAAAAATTAATATTCTGGGTTCAATAAAAGCATCAGTGGCACAGTGTTGATTACAACAAAAATTCCACTTATTTATTTATTATGTTAAAAACTGTGCATTATTTAAGCTTTAGATATTTTATGTATTACTGCTGTTTTAGGGTAAAGCATATAACTTTAAACAGAAAATGTAAATAATATTAATAATAAGAGTTTAATGATTTGTTTTCACACTAATTCCATGTACATTTTTAGAGTGAAAAAATTCTGAAGCTACACTAGTATTGTATGCTTCCTGGGATCTTATTCAAAGTCTACAGCGTGCAACATTAGCTGCTGTCTCCAAAAGAGACGATGTGTTTCTTTTTGTCCGCACGGAGGAGCAGCTGCACCGCCTGCACGAGCCCGGCCAACAAAACACCGTGCACCGAACACGCACGCTCTCTCTCGCTCTCTCTCTCTCTCTCTCTCTCACACACACACACACACACACACACCCTCCTGTATAAACGGCATCTGCCTGTACACAGTCTCTCGCCCTCCCTCTCATCTCTCATGTGCGTGCGCTGTCATTAACGCACACACGTACCGCGGCAGCGCAAGTCAGACGCGCTCGAGCACACGGTTCGGTTCGGTTCGGTTCGGACATGATACCGGCGCGGACCCGGAGATGAGGCTCAGAAATGGCACCTTCCTAACAGTCTCACTATTCGGGTTATGTGGGCTTATATCGTTGTCCTGGTACACCGCATTCAGCAATTCCAAAGGTAAGACGCTGCAGGCTGGAGGCGCGTGTTTACGGCGTCCCTCTCTGTCCGAACGGAGCGCATCGTCCGTGGAAACGAAATGCTTCTCTTGCATTCTGTCACGCATTCAAATGCGGCACTGAAGCGCTGGAGCTGCACAACACTTGAACAGCTGTTCAGTGCAACGCTGCTGCTCGGCTTGACTGTGTTTGTGCACCTTCTGTCTTCAGCTGCTCCTCAAACTATCAGAGGCCTGTTGATGTTTACCTACGTTTTATTTCGCTATTCACAGGTAAATTAGTTTAGAAGCACTGCTAGCCAAATAACCAGTTTCTGCCGAGATGCTGCTTTCTTTTGGGGTTTGACGGTTTTTACATCTGCACTTTCCAAACAAGCAACCTAAACCCTTATTTGATGCCATTTCAACCAGTTGTCTAGCAAATGTGTTGAACGCTTCCTGAGAGGTTCCTTTGAGTCTGAGCGTGCTTGTACCTAATGCATTTGAATCTTGATATTTGCTTTCTTGCTCGGATGTGATGGATCCTTCCTGTTTAGTCTTGGTGACTGATATCTCATGATATCTCTGTAGAAAGCAGCTCATAACTTCCAGAAAGTATGTGACGTTAGTGAGCTATGAGAAGTGTTGTGTTGGCCTTTTCCACTTGCTTCCAGTTTTAAATCCTATTCAAGCTTTATATATGTTCTCTCAATCCATATTCATTTATTAAGCTTCATGGTTACACCTGTGTGCACATAACACACTGAACGGTGTTTAATACACGAGTGCAGACTCTATTAGAGCAGGTGTGGGAAAAGGACTAATTGAATTCTAGCTTCTCTCTCCATCACAACTTTTCATCTTTTCTCTCTCTCTCTCCTGTCTGACGCTTTAGGAGTAGTCGAGCTGGTCACAAATCAAAGCAGATGTACTCGGGCTAATTGCTTTTGTCAAGTGCAACACAGCAAAAAGCTCTATTTATGACTCAAACCTTTCATTTGTGTTTGTTTCACTGGAAACAAACTGCCTCTTAATCGATCGATGTACTGTGACCGAGCCCTCCTGAATTGTGTTTTCTCCCCCCGCTCCAGCACTTGAACGTGTTTGTAACTTTCTGTGCTCTAGTCATTATGAACATCTGCTCATCTCATCCGTAGATGCCATGCATCTTATTCTGTTTCCAAACATTATTCAAGTGTAGAGTGCATTTTATGGGGAAGTCGTGGCCTAATGGTTAGAGAGTCGGACTCCCAAAGGCTGTGGGTTCGAGTCTCGTACCGGCAGGGATTGTAGGTGGGGGGAGTGAATGTACAGCGCTCTCTCCCACCTTCATCTCCCCCCCGCTCCAGCACTTGAACATGTTTGTAACTTTCTGTGCTCTAGTCATTATGAACATCTGCTCATCTCATCCGTAGATGCCATGCATCTTATTCTGTTTCCAAACATTATTCAAGTGTAGAGTGCATTTTAGGGGGAAGTCGTGGCCTAATGGTTAGAGAGTCGGACTCATAACCCAAAGGCTGTGGGTTCGAGTCTCGTACCGGCAGGGAGTGTAGGGGGGGGGGGGGGATGTACAGCGCTGTCTCCCACCTTCAATACCATGACTGAGGTGCCCTTGAGCAAGGCACCGAACCCCCAACTGCTCCCCCGGCGCCGCAGCCTTGGCTGGTCACTG